GGAATGCACAGGGACATTGCTCAGATCTGGCTGGACCAATAACAGCTCTCAGGACTGTTTCAGCCACGCCCCTTCATGTATTTACATTCTAGGGTCTGATCCAAGCCTGGTGACAATGTGACACAGAAGGATTTGGAGCTTGAGACCCAAATCACTACCAAAATGAGGGAGGACAGTGCAGGGGAATGGGAATTGTGGATCACACCGCCCACCCCTTGGGCTCCTGTCCCTCTGAGCCAGGGGAAGCTCTTTGCAAAACTTCAGTTGCTGCAGAAACATCTGTTTTCCTAACGGAAAGCCCCACGTGCCAAGACATTCCTGTCTGTGTGATACTGGCTGCCGAAAGACACTGGATTTCCCCTGCACAGGATGCAAATATTTTGCCAGGAAAGGGAATAAGGCGGCAGCAGCGGTGGGGGAAGAAGGAAAGAAACCCATTGCAGGGCAAGTCCAGGCAGCCTGGGAGCTGCAGGTGCCCCTGGACTCTTTCACAAACACGCCTCAGCACCAGCAATGCAGTGGAAATCCACAGGGTCCCAGTCCCTCGGGATCATTTCTAAGCACAGTGCCCAGCCCCAGCATCCGGTGCCCTCAGAGTCACCTGCCCACCCACCAGTGACCCACCAGGCTCTGGGGACCCCCATCTCTGGTCCTACAGCGAGCACAGTGACAAAAGCATCTGAGGAAGGAGCCTGGGAAAAACTCCAGCCAGGATTTCAACACGTGACTCCCCTCAGTCCAGAGAACACAAAAAAAAGAAAGGGGGGACAATTTGTAGAGACCTGACACCAACCCCCTGCCGCTCCCCATGCTCCTCAAGCTGGATTTAAATAAAAAATAGCAGCGATGTGCCTGGCTGGGGCAGGAGCCAGCTTCCAAGTACAGAAACTTCCTTTCTAGGCAAGCTATTTCAAAAACTGCCTACACTGGACTTTTCTGCACACGCTGCTAAAGCATCTGGCCTTGGCAAGGGGAAGACGTGGGAGGAGGAAAGCTGGGAACCCCTCACGGGGGGTTCCCCGTTTTTCTCTGCCTTCTACAACTGTGGCTGTCAGAGATGGCAGAAGAACCACCCCCCCTCCCGAGAGCAGAGGGTGGGGAAATGCTGTCTGCTTTCCATACTGTTTGCTGGAAAGTTGGCCATCAATTTGCTGCTACTTCAGGCCAGCCTGACCCCTCCCCCCGTTGCACCCCAAGAAAGGCCCCCTCCAGCAAGGCAAAGTTTGTGCAGGAGGAGCCCGAGGTCCAGATGCTCTCTATATTCCTCCAGATGTGCTGATGGGAACACCACACCAACCCTGTGCCTGTCCCAAAGCCCACACAGTGCTCCCCACATGGTGCCCACCAGCATCTGGACCTGGGGCAGCAGCAGCAGCATCCAGAGGGGAGGAAGGTGGCCACGGTTCTGAGTGTGTGGCACAGGGTGGAGAAGAACCACCTGGACCCCTGCTCCAGGATGTGACACCCTGCCCTGCTCCATGCCTCAGTTTCCCTATGCACATCCCGCAATACTCTTCTTCCTCACATCTGCAAATGTCCCCTCCTCTTTCAAAGGGGACACACAGGTGGAGCTGCGGGACCATCACGCTCCTCCCCACGCTCTCTGGGGCAGGCAGAGGTGGGGAGAGCATCTACAGGGGGCATGCAGTCCCACTCCCCTCCCCAGCACTGGGAAACCCACAGGCACCATCTCCCTCTGACACATCCAGCCACGGGGATCCAACATTCTCCTTGAACCAGCAGGCTAGAGAGGGAATTCGCTGTTTTCTCCTCCCACCAGCCCCTCCTAGGCCAGCTTCTCCTCTGAGCACAAGGTTTGCTGGGAGAGGAGTTTCAGCTCCCGTTCGGGGGGATGGGGAGACAGGGGAACCCTGTGTGGGGTTTTGGGTAGCTCGGTGCCATTCCCGAGCTGTCCTCACTTCTCCACCGGCTGGTAAGAAGAGCCAGGGCAGAGAAAGGGAAAACCTTTGTGAGCAGAAGTTACCAAAGCCAGGCCATGCAGACCAGGGTCAAGCCGTCCTCCTCCGGGAGCAGCCCAAGGACTTTCTCCTCCGGTCGGAGGGCGTCCCGGAGGCAGGCACGGAGGGAGCACGAACTGCACGGGGGGGAGGGCTCAGGCGGAGGGGGTCTCTGGGGGCAGGGAGGGATGCGGGCGCAGTTAGACCGTTTCCCAGGAAACGATGGTGCGTGTGTGTGTGCGTGGGAGAGTCCCTTCCCCCAGCAGCACTTGAACCCATTGCCCAATCTCGCCACGTTTCCCCGAGGCGCAGGCACCGCCGGGATTCGCTCTTTCCACGGGAAGAAGGAGGCGAGGCAGCTGCCACCGGCACTCCCACGGTCCCCGGGAGAGGCGGCCCCCCGAGGCCCCACCCGTGGA